GGGGGGGGGCTTCTTCCCCAAGGCCCTGCCCACCCCAGACGTCTGGGAAGAATCCCAGGGAAGAGGGAAGGACAGCCTTGGGGAGGGGGCTGCTCTCCCCGTCGGGTGGGTGTCATACTGCCTGACGTGTCGCCTACAGTGGTGACGACCCTCGCACACGGTGGGCTGGGAACTGCACGTGCTCCGTCCGGCCTCAGACTCTGGGGGTTGGGCTCAGCTTTCCCGTCACCGGCTAGCCCCTCACCCCGTCTTTACGGTGCAGGGGAACCCTTACTGCGCATCCGACAGCCCCTCGGTGCTTGGTGCTCTGCTGGGCCGGCCTGGCCGGAGTCCCGGGGAGGGCGGGCAGAGGGGCTGGGCGTGCGGGACCCCCCTCCCCACGGATCGTCCTCCGCCCGTCCACAGCGGGGCTCTCGCTGGGGCTGAGGCCTCGGAGCCACACGTGACAAGGCCAGGCTGCCCTGCACCCTCCCCCACTCTCCCCTCCAGGCACGGCCCCGACCCCCGACATGGTCCTGATGGTGCACGCGGCCCCGATCCTCACACAGGCCCCCATACCTGCACACGGCTCTGATCCTCCCCTGGGCCCGGTCCTCACCTGGGCCACTGTCCTCTCCTGGGCTCCGTCCTCCCCTGGACCCCGTCCTCACCTGGGCCTGGATCCCTCGCACCTGCCGATAGCCAGGATGGATCCCTTTCCTCCAAGGGTTTGTTGCCGACACGTCCGCGGCAGCTCCGGGAGCCCGGCACCCCTCCTAATGTTTTCTTTACTTATACACCTGCATCGTCCAGAACAGCTGCTTTATTGAGATTCATCCGTCACAAGCCTTAATTAAAATAACGCAAGTGTCTAACTCCGCACAGGTCACCACAGCAAATGTGTGTTTTCCTGCTGTCAGTTAAGGCCTGAGCGGGGAGCCGTGACGCAGCCGCTCCTCTCCTTGTCCGTCCTCCAGCTGAGTCCTGAGTTGGGGCACGGGCGGGCCCTGCAGCGAGCCCCGGGGAGGGCGGCGGGCCTGGGGGCTGGCGGGGTGGGGGGTGGGGGGGGAGGCGTCCCGCAGGGCCGGCGGCTGGTCCCGTACGAGGTCCCTGCAGCAACTGTGAGGAGTTGTTGCAAACTTTCTGCCCTGGAGCCACAGCCCGTGACTGCCTTGTGGTCTGGAGGTCAGGGTCTGCCTCGCTGGTAGGGCCCCGGGGAGTCATTTCCACACCTTTTCCAGCTCCTGGAGGCATCCTTGGCCCGAGGCCCACCGTCCGTCCGCAGAGCCAGCGGCCACGTCTGTCCTCACCCCTCCTGCCCTGTGACCACACTGAGCCAGGGTTCACTTCGCCATGGACGGCCCTACGTTGACAGGTGACAGGGGTCAGGACGTTTGGGGCCACGAACCAGCCTGCCGCACCCCCTAAATGTGAAGGACACCGGCTGGCAGAGAGGAGGGTGTGTGGATGGAGGGCCCGGGTCAGCGTGTCTGCGAGAGGACTCAGGAAGGGTGGGGGGGCCAGGCTGCAGACTCAGGCCTCAGGGTAAGGTGACACAAGTGGGCACAGCTCAGCAGGGGTGATAGGAGGTCCCCCTCGCAGGACGGGGGACAGGTGCAGGGAGAGCCTGGGTCCCCCTCGCAGGACGGGGGATGGGGTGCAGGGGGAGCCTGGGTCCCCCTCGCAGGATGGGGGATGGGGTGCAGGGAGAGCCTGGGTCCCCCTCGCAGGACGGGGGACGGGGTGCAGGGAGAGCCTGGGTCCCCCTCGCAGGACGGGGGACGGGTGCAGGGGGAGCCTGGAAGGAGCCAGGGGCGTGGGGAAGCAGGAGGCGAAGCCCTTAGGAAGCGGGACGTGGCTTTACTCATGTTCATTATTCCCCTTCGATTTGCCGGATCAGTAAATTGCCTGGAGTAATTGGATTATTTGCATGATTTTGAGCCCGGGGTCCTCTCTGATCCGCCGCCCCGCTCCCAGTCCCGCAGGATAGGGCTTCAGGGTCCAGCCCTGCTCACGAGGGGTCTCCTGTCTGACCCCTTCCCACGGTCTGCCACGCCGCCCGGGGCCTGGATGTCTGTCTGAGGCGCCGTGGACTGGGCTGCTGGTCACATCCGCCCGCGCCCTTCTGTCTGCAGCCTCGGAGACCGGCCCTCAGACACGTCTGCAGCTCTGTGACCTGTTTCTCTCCCTGTGGGCCCATTAGGACTGGGATAGGCCCTGTTCAGAGCTGCCACAGGACCCCGGAGGCGGTGGGACTTGGAGCCCCAAGCTTGGCGCTCACGGTACAGAGACCACGTCTTCAGGGCCCGCCCTGGGCCCTCGGGAGCGATGGAGACTCTAACAACAGGCCCGGGGCCACAGGGGTCCTTGGGCCTGTCCCAGCGAGCTGGGGTGCTCGGTGTCGCCCGCTCTGTTGTTTGGGGGAATCTCTCCTTTGCCAGATGGGGGGGGGTTCTCTCCTGGGGGCCCCCTTCTGTTCTTCCAGACTTTAGGGCGGCGGCCCCTCCTCCCACCCCACCCACATGACCCCTCACACACCTACCTCCTGGCCGTGTCCCGGAGCCTCTGCTGGGGCTGACGCAGCCCTGAGCCTAGATCACACCCTGCCTCCCCCCCCCAGGAGCTCCCCCTGGCCTGTGCTGGCATCCGCAATGACCCTTTCCTTCCTTTCCACGAGGGCAGACCCTTCCGGGGACCCTCACTGCCTGGGTCTGCTGGAGGTGGTGACATCATCAGAGGTGGTTACTAGGCAACCGGCCTCCGCAGTCAGGGGACCGCTCTGTGGTTGGAAGGGCCCTGCCAGTTTCTTAAAATATCAGACCTCAGAGCACATTTAGTCCCAGAGAAGAGGGGAGAATCCAGCCAGTTTCAGGTCGCTGGGAAGCCCCCCTTAGATCTGCCCTCTGACTGCATGGGTTTTCCAAGAGGCGATCGTGTGAGACTAACCTCATTTTCTTTTCTTGTCATGGTCCTTAGCCCGGCGGATGAGGGCCCGTTATTGTTGTGATTTCCACGGCATTTGCCAAATGTGCTGTGTTATCCTTGAGGATGAAACGGTAAGTACATCCCAGATGAACCGTTAGGTGCAGTTTGTCTGTTACAGGGAATTAGAGACAAAGGGAGTTAGCTAGTGGCCCCATGTCACCCTGGAGGGAGGGCTCCAGCGGGCTCCCGCAGGACTCTGACATCAGTCCTGGGCTGTCGAACGTTCTTATCAATGATTTATATGAAGAAATAAAAGGTCTGCCTGTCACTTTGCTGCTAGAACAAAGGACAGGAGGTACGTTGCAAGGAGGAATCGTAATTCAGAATCCTCTCACCGTGGACGTGATTTAAGACTCAAAAAGAAAATTTGAACAGGACGGAAACAGCGCTACCTATAAAGGAGGTAACTGATCAATTGGGCCACATTACAATTAAGAGACATCAGTCAGGGGGATATTTGCGATACACGTTTGACAAAAGATTTACAACCGGATAAAACCCTCAAACAATTTTAAAAAGGGGTGAGCAAATGGATGAAAAAACAAGCCAACTATTGGGGCGCCTGGGTGGCTCAGTCGGTTAAGCGTCCGACTTCAGCTCAGGTCATGATCTTGCGGCTCGTGGGTTCGAGCCCCGCATTGGGCTCTGTGCTGACAGCTCAGAGCCTGGAGCTGCTTCGGATTCTGTGTCTCCCTCTCTCTCTGTCCCTCCCCCACTCAAGCTCTGTCTCTGCCTCAAAAATAAACATTAAAAAAATAAAAAAAAACACCAAGCCAACTGTTTAAACTGGCATTTCGCAAGAGGGGTGCCCGAATGTCCTCTAAGGACGTGAAATGGGAATTGCTCGATTTTCCTAGTTCGCAGGGAGAGGCAGTCCTGACGCCACGTGATGTCACCTCCCCCGACGGAGGCCAGGAAAGGGAGGAAGGGCTGAGCATTGGCGAGGAGGACTATGACGTGCTGGGCAGCTTTGGGAAAATTCTACGACCTTGGGTATGGACCCAACAGAAGTGCACACGTGTTTCTACCAAAAGACACGTATGAGAATGTTTCCAGCAGTTTTCAATGGCTAAAGTCCAGAAGTAACCACAAAGCCCGCGGTGGCGTGAGCACGCGCCCAGGCCGGGCACCCGTCCAGCGGAAGGCCGGAAACCATTCATGCCAGCGGCTACCTCGCTCTATGCAGCAACATGTTGGAAGTTCAGCAACAGAGCGGGTGAGAGGCCGGACGCGAGGACCCCATTCCATGAACGTCAAAGCCATGAACACTGGTCGGTGGTGCTGGAAGTGAACACAGCGCCCGCCTTCGAAGCCGGGACACCGGGCGCCTGTGGCGTGTGTGGAGGGGGGGGGTGTCCTTTTCCGGGCGGGTTCCGGCCACCGGTGGGCGCTGTCTGTGCGCTACCTGCGCGAGTCACCTGACATCGTGTCCGTGTTCCGTGGGTGCGCGCGTCACGCTCAGGGTTCAGTGAAGCCGAAGGGACTTTGCCATGAACAACCGCAAACCAACCAAAGGGCATAAAGCGAGCGTTTACAGACATTGGGCACCGGGCAGCACAGGGCCCCTGGGGGGGGGGGAGGCGGGAGGGGAGCCCCATTTTCTGCTGAGAAGCCGTCCGCGGAGGTGAGGAGGCACGGACTGGGGCTGGGGAGGCTGAGAGGCTGGGGTGTGGTGGGGAAGAGGGCCACAGAGGAGGGGCTGTCCACGGAACAGCTCTAGAAATCTCTCCGGGCACGTGTGAGTTCTGAGCAGCCGGAGGGGGAAAACCTTCCCGACACCGGCATTAACCGGCTTGGGCTGCCTGAACGAAACGCCGCAGACCTTGTGGCTTAGACGATGGACCTCTGCTCCTCTTAGCTCTGGGGGCCGGGAGCCCCACCTCCGGGTGCTGGTGTGGTCGGGCTCAGCTGAGGGCTCCTCCCGCTTGTAGACGCCTTCTCACTGGGTCCTCACGTGGCAGGTGGGGAGAGAAACGCTCTCCTCTTCTGTAAGGTCACCGTCCTGTAGGATCAGGGCCCCACCCTTACGCCCTCATTTAAGCTCCTGAAACCTCTCTCCCCAGGTCCAGCCACACGGGGGCTTCAACCTCCAGATGTTGTGGGAGACACGATTCCGTCTCAGCAACACGCAAGGCATTCAGAGAGATTCCAGAAGGGCCGGGATCTCAGTAGGACAACTAGATTAGCCCTGGGGGAAGGCTGCCGGGCTCGATCGGGAGCCTCGACTTAAGCCTCAGAGCTCTGACTCTGGTAGCAGCCGCTAAGTTCCTATCAGGCCGACTCTCCCAGAGGCAACAAGTATAAACACTGGACCAAACAGATGCTAGAGCGAGTAGCTGAAGTCACGGGAGAACAACAGGCAGGAGTCAGCCTTTAGGAGAAAGGACCAGAACTGAGGAACATTCCCATTTTAACAGCTTCCGGCCTGAGGGCAGCCCCGAGTGCACACCACGCAGGTCACAAACATCGTCCAAAGTCCAACAAAAAGTGTGCAGTATTCATGGCTTGAAGACCAGAGAAGTGAGTTTAAGGCAGCCTCAACCACAGGAAGGTAAGAGACAATCCCAGAAAGGGGTGGGTCCGAAGACGTGCGTATAAACCCCCGGGTTGTCTCCGGACGGCACTTGAACCACACTCGGGCGGGGCGGACCCCAAGCAGCCCGGCCACGGCCATGTGGGATCCACCCTAGAGGGACATCTTCTAGTTTGAATCGCCCCAGATGAATTGCCTGTTAAGATAATGAATACCAATGCACTTCAGTCCGGAGGCCCCACAGCGGACTGTCTACAAAACCCAGGATGCAATCCAAAATTTCGGGGTAAGAGGAGAGGAGAAAATGTGGCTCGTTTTCAAAAAAAAAAAAAAAAGACAATCATAAAGACTAACCTCAAGGTGACTAAGACGTTGAACTGAGCAGAGAAGGATTTCAAAGCTGTTGTAACGACTGTGGCCAATGAAATAAAAGAAAATATGTTCATAACAAATAAAAAGATTGGGTATTGTGGTAGAGAATAGGAATTGACAGAAAGAGCTAAGTGGAAATTCTAGAACTGAAAAATGTAAATCCAAAATGGAAGTTCATGGGATGGGCTCAATACCAGAATGGAAACAGCGAAGGAAAGAGTTAGCGAACTTCAAGAGAGAGCGACAGAAATTGTCTAATTTGGAGAAGAGGGGGAAAAAAAAGGGGGGGGGAACCCAATAAAAAACAGAGCGTTTCCAAGACCCATGGAATAAATCTGACACGTGTGATATTCATGTGCTCAGGAAGGAGGGAACAGAGAGCAGAAATGTTTACATTTTAATTATTTAAAAAAAAATTTAATGTTTGTTTTTGAGAGAGAGAGATACAGAGTGAAGGGGGGAGGGGCGGGGAGACAGGGAGACCCAGAATCCGAAGCGGGCTCCAGGCTCCGAGCCGTCAGCACAGAGCCCGACGCGGGGCTCGAACCCATGGACTGTGAGATCATGACCTCAGCCGAAGTCGGACGCTTAACCGACTGAGCCACCAGGAGCCCCTACATTTTAATTATTTTTAAGGAAATTGTGGTTGAAAATTGCCTGGATTTGACGGAAGACACCGATTTCACGAGCTCAGGAAACCCCGGTCAGTCCAAGTCAGGGAAATGATGTCAAAGCCCGTTACAGCCAGAGAGCAGGACAAAGAGAAACTTTTGGAAGCAGCTGCCCAGAAGCGACACGGCACTCGGGGGAGCGATAATTTGGGTAAATGCTCGCTTCTCGTGAGAAATGAATAGAGCCGGAGGCAGCGGGAGATATTTTTAATGTACTAAAAGGAAAAAAAAAATCCTATAAACAGGAAAACTATTCTTCGAGAATGAAAGTGAAAGACATTTTCAGGGGCGCCTGGGTGGCGCAGTCGGTTAAGCGTCCGACTTCAGCCAGGTCACGATCTCGCGGTCCGGGAGTTCGAGCCCCGCGTCAGGCTCTGGGCTGATGGCTCGGAGCCTGGAGCCTGTTTCCGATTCTGTGTCTCCCTCTCTCTCTGCCCCTCCCCCGTTCATGCTCTGTCTCTCTCTGTCCCAAAAATAAATAAAAAATGTTGAAAAAAAAATTTTTTTAAAAAAAGAAAGTGAAAGACATTTTCAGATAAAAGAAAACGCGAATTTTTCACCAACGTAGATGCTGAAGGAGACCCTTCGAACGGGTGAGATGACCCCAGACGGACGCCTGGGACCTGTCCCCAGGAGCCTCGCCATGCGTGTGGGGAACACGAAACGCCCGCTGGGTGCGGGGTGCCTGTGCCCGGCCCTGCAGTGTCCCCCCACCCCCAGGACGCGGTCTGGGCACATGGCGGCCCATTGCCAGGTTCACGGTCCGAGGGGAGGGGAGGAGGAGCTTGTTCACGCAGCTCTCTCAGAGCGAGGGGTTGGCAGTCATGCCGGAGGCCGTGCCAGGGGCCCAGGGGCTCTGGCTCCTGGCGTGGGGGGTCGGGGGCTAGCCTCAGGGCCCAGTGGTGCCACCTTGGGCCAACGGCCTCACCCCCGTGCCTCTGCGTGCCGATTACGGGGGGACCAGCTGGGGCCTCGGGCCTTGAGGCGCCTCTGGCATTGGAGGTCTGGGAACGGCAGGTTTCGGGTTCCGGAGCTCCCTGGCTCTCGGAGCCACAGGGAGATGAGGGGCTGAGGCAGGGGGGCTGTGTGCAGCCGCGGTGCCCGCGTCCCAACCCTCGTCTCGTCCACGGGGCGGGAAGGGTTCTTCTCGGCCCTGCCGCGGCCTCTGCTCTCAGAGCCGCTTTGTGGGGTCCTGGCTCCCTGGCTTCTCCCAGGGGAGAAGTCTGGGGTCAGGGCCGTGGCGTCAGAGGCCGGGGGAGGGGCTTCGTTGCTCTCTGCACCCCTGCTTCACTCCGCAGCCACCGCGCACGGTGACCGGGCGGGCCCCTCTCCGTGCTCACGCTGGGTCTGCCAATCCCTTCCTTCCGCCTCCCTGACTCGCGGGGAACTCAGCCGTCTGCCCGCAAGAAGCCAAGAAGCGCAAGCCTGCCCTTTGCACCCCGGGGCCAGGCGCAGGCTGGGGTGGGGAGGGCGGGCGGGCAGAGCCAGAGGGGCGAGCGCTGCGCTCCCGGGCCCTCGGGCCGCTCCTCCCGCCGGGCCTGCGCTGACCTCTCCTCTTGCCCCCTCGGGCCACCAGCCATGTCTTCCTCTGTAGACAGGCGTGAGGGGCCGGTGGTGGCCGTGGAGCTGGTGGCCCAGGAGTGAGAGGGGCCTCGCCGCCCCAGCACGTGAATATGGATTTGTGCCTAAGGACAGGCGGTGGCGGGCTCCGGCCCTAATTAGTGCGCGATGGCTGCTCCCTCTGCCCCTGGGAGCCGGGGTGGGGGTAGGGGGGCATCAAAGGAAGGCAGCCTGCTAATCCCCCTCTTCCAAGGGCGGCATCTGCTCCCTCCCTCCCCCGGGCGCGTCTCTCTGACAGCAGGCCGCGAGAGTCTCGGCTATTTAATTAGGCCCGAAAGTTCCCCCAACCCTGGGAAATGATTTCATTTCAATATTTCCTTTGCCGAGCGCGACACCCTCCCCCATCCTCAAAGGCCTTTCATCTGCGGCTCGGCCCATCCCCCGCCAGGGGCCTCTCCCCTCCCCTCTCATTGGCGTCCTGTTCAAGGGGCCAGGCTGGGCCAGGGGCGGCGGTGGCGGCTGGTCTTTGAGACAGGCGCCGCCCCCCCCCCCCGCCCCAGCCATTGGCCCAGCTGCGGCTGGTAACCAGCTGCGAGCATCCTGCCAGCCTGGCCTCCCGCCCGCACGCCCTGGGTCCTACCCCAGACCTTGGCCAAGCAGCTCCCTCTCCAGGCGTGCCCCGCCCCCCCCCTCCCGGGGGCAGGTCCAGGCCGCGTGAGGAGCCGCCCGCCCTGAGACATGATGTCACACGGAGCTCGTCCCTCCCTGCTTTTGTCAGCCTCTGCTGGCCGGGTCACCCTTTGCGGGCCCCAGTCCCGCCTGCCTGATTCTGCTCCCCGTGCTGTGTGCACACACACTGCACGTGTGAGGCTGTCTGTGCGTGCTTGTGCACATGCGTGGGGGTGCATGGTACGCGTGGGGGTGCGAGGTTGCGTGTACCTCTGTGCCTGCGAGTGTGTGTGGTCGGCACGTGCATGCACACGTGTACCTGTGCGTGTATGCGTGTGCACATGTAGGCACGTCTGTGGGAGCCCCTGAGGTCTGAGCCTGGTTCCTGTCTCTCTTTAGGCAGCTGGTGCTCCCGTCCTCCACGGACCGTGCGGGGCCAGCACCAGGCCCGGCTGCAGAGCAGAGGCTCCCGGAGGGGTGGGGGGTGGGATCTGGGGGGCGCTGGGGGGGGAAGGTCCTGAGCTCCGGAGGCCCTCTGCAGACTCAGTCTCCACGTTTGTACAAACTCGTCCGTCCCCGAGGTCTGTGCCCAGAGCACAGCCACAGGCCCGAAGGTCAGGCCGACTTTGCCTCGGGGGGGGGGGGGGGGGGGGGGCCCCCCCCCCCCGCCCGCGCCCCCCCCCCCCGCCCTCTCTGAAGCCGTGCCCCCCACAGCGTCCTCCTCTGTCCTCCTCCACTTGGGCCCGGAGGCCCTCCTGGAGGCGGCTAATGAGAGGTGTCAGCTGGGAGGCTCTTCTGGGGAACCCGCCGTCCTGAGCGATTTCTACACGGGAAAGTCTAGCCTCACGGAGTCCTTTGAATGCGTCCGAGTGACGAGTGACGAGTGACGAGTGACGAGGCAGCCCTCGGAGTCGCCGGGAGCCGGAGAGGAGAGGAGAGTGATCTCCACTGGCCTCCTGAATGTTCTTAAGAAGCTGTTTGTCACGCGGCCCCGAAGGCGAGGTGGGGGCCTTGGCTGACGAATGACGGTCGCTGCAGTTCTGCCTCCCTTCCCATCCCCCACGCCGGAATTTACGCCTTTTCCAGACAAAACGCTCTCGCAGACAGGCGTCCCACGTCTTCACCGCGGCCAAGTCTCGACGGTATTGATCACGCGGCCCTGGGATCCCCACCCCCCCCCCCCCCGCCCAGGAAGTGAGACACTCGGGGCTCCAGGGGCCCCCGCCCCTCCCCCACCCGGCACCCACTCCTCAGCGGGCCGTCGGCGTCCTCGGGGGCAGCGGGCAGCGGGGCCTGGCACGTGCTGGTCGCTCTGTGGACCCTCGGTGCCAGGATGGAGGAACGAGAAACCAGGAGTCTGGGGGGGTCGGAGACAGGCTGTTGGATTCTCAGCGCTACGCCCCTGCTTGGTCAGCTGGCCTCGCCCTCGGGGATTCCTCTCCCTGCCCCCCGGGGGCTCCCTGCAAGGCCTTGGGGACCCTGGAGACAGTGACAGCCCTCCCCGTGGTGGAGGGGGGGGGCGTTCCGTGTTATGCTCGGGAAGTGAGTGTGCACAGAACTTTGTGAATTGCTTTCTTTCCTGTTTTATGAACTTCTCCGAATGCCTGCACATTACTCTCCCCAGGGACGGGGGGAGATAAATAGCAATTAAAGTCCTGTCATCCGACTCGCTCAGGCCGTTAAGTTGTTCAACCTTGCATAAAAAACCGGTGAGTGTACTTAACGCAGAGGAGCACCTGGGCGCGTGGCAGTAAGCATAAATCAGTGTCTAACGACGCGCTCCCGCCCACCGGGCTCACGGCGACCCCGGCCCGGGCTCCCGGTCGGCTGGCCTGCGCGGGGCCCTCTGCCCGCGTCGTCCCCGGGCCCAGGCAGAGAGGACGGCTCACAGGCTGTGGCTGGGCCTCCGGGCCCTCTCCGCGTCCCCAGCCTGGCCGGGCAGCTGGAACTGCGTTTGGAGAAGCCGCTCGCTGCGCCGTCTGCTTGGACAAACACGGCCGCGTCCCAGGACAGCGGTGCCACGGCTCTTGGGCCACGCCTGCGTGCCAGGCAGCCAGCTCGAAGCCCCACGGAGCTGGTGGGTCCTGAGGCCCCGGCCCTTGGCCCTGGCTGGAGACGAAGGCAGCGGTGGGCTTGGTAAGTCTCCTCTGCCCCAGGCAGCCACGGGCAGAGCTGCAGCATCCCGCCTGCCAGGTGGCCCCCGGGCCCTTCCAGGGGGCCGGCGTGTGCTCCGGGCCCCCCCTCCCCTGGCAGCACGGGCGGCAGGCCCCGTCCTCACTTGCGGCCTCGTTTTACGGCGTCTCCGGAGAACAACGGCTCAGGCTGTGCGGATTCGTTCCCCTCCGCACGAGGCTCACCTACTTCGACACACGCAGTTTAGCTTCAATTATTTATCGCGACACCGGAGAGGCCCCGATCAAAGCGCCAAAGCGTGTTGAGCCGCAGCCTCGGCGCGGGGGACGGGTGGGGCAGGCCCGCGGAGGGGAGCGGGCTGGTCGGCGTGGTCCCGCTGCCCCCCCCAGGCGGTGACGCAGGTGCCACGCCTCGCCACGCTTGGAGATGACGTCTTGTTCCCGCGCCGTCCAAGGAGCCCACGGGAGCCTGGAGCTGGCGACGGGATCTTAAGACGAGGCGGGTTTCTTCCCTTCGGCAGCTGCAGCTTTTAAACCCATGGGGCCCCAGGACAAAACAGGGTGGCCGAGCTCCTCGGGTGTGTTGAGACCCCCCAGCCTGCCGGGTGTCACGTGCACCCGTCCGCCCATCCACCCGCTTGCAGTGGGGGTGGGCGAGGCGAGGCCCATGAGACCGGGTGCTGCCTGGGGAAGGGACAGGCACCGGAAATGAGGAAGGGGCCGCTATGGGGCCCGTCCCGGACTCGCTGTCTGCACAGGAGCGCGTCAGGGTTGCCGGAACAGGGGCCACGTGACTCTCCCCAGCCGACAGCTGAGGCTGACGACTGAGACGCGGACGAGGGCTGGGGACCTGTGCCCAGCTGTCTGTCTCTGGAGCAGGCCTCCTTGACCTCCGCCCTGGAGGCCGTGCCACCTGCCTGTCCCCTGCTATGCGCTAGTGGCTGGCACGTAGGGGTGTATGCCTTCAGAGCCCCACACAGCCACTCCCTGGGTCACGTCAGCTCTGGGTGGACGCCGGGCGGAGGAAGAACCGGTGGGTCTGGTGGGACCCCAAGCCAGCACATCCCTCCCTACAGTGCTGGGTACTTGCCAGTCTGCTTCACGGAACACAGACGCTCGGAGGGAGACGGGCCCTGCAGGATCGCTGGTCCAGGCACCTCCCACAGCAGATGGGGAAACCGAGTCTCCAGAGAAGGGGGGGCACACGGCGAGGCCCCCCGCCTGGCCTGGGAGGGCACCTGCCCGTGGGCTATTTCTGGCCCTGGCGTGGCCTGGGCCGCTGAAGGACACCTTGCTTCTCGGTCCATCGGTGTCCTCCCGAGACAAGCCAGAAGGGTGCTTTCCCGGGGTGTTATTGGGCACCTCCAGAAAGCGGCCGCGCCCCGACCCGCTGCCCAGGGGGCCCCTGCCTCCCCCTCAGCACCTCCCCGGCGCCCCAATTTAGGACGGGAAGAGCCGTCCCTGAATCACTGCTCGCTTCTGCTTTGGGATTGCACGACATTCTCTATGTACCCCAGCCCACCATTTACTCACACCACTGGAGTGTGAATTCCATGAATAAATTGTATTATCTCGGGGGCTTCGGATGACAAAAACATGAAAGCCACGCCAGTCCAGAAACGCCCGTCTCTCCTCATTAATGCCGGCTGGGGCCGGGGGAGCGGGCCCTCCTGGGAGGCTCATTTAGATTTTAATTAAACCGGCTTTCCCAAACAATTTGCAATAAATTAGCGACAAGCAGGCTTGCCGCGTCCAGGCGCGAGGCAGTCCCCGCTGGGGATGGCTGCTGGCGCTCACCTGGGGTCACCTGCAAGGCCGCCTACACCCGGGCCGGGCTGGGCCGGGGCAGACTCCTGGCCGGCTCCGCTCCATGGGAGACAGGCCACCAGCAGCCACATGCGAGCGGAGGCCAGCAGACCGCCCCCTGCATCTCATACCGGGCCTGACACCCAGCCCGAGGGCAGCAGTCTACCCGAGACCCCCATCCGAGGGCTCACCCCCGATGCCGGGCCGCTCAGGCACTGCGTCCTCAGAGCTGTGGTGGGGCCTGGTGTCCTCGGCCCTGGCTGGGTCTGTTGGGGCCCCTGCACCACGTTCCAGAAGCCTATATGGGCCCTGGGCCATGAGCCCACCTCCAGGAGCTTTGTGGGAAGAGGGGACTCTGGCGGCCCTCAGGAGCTCGTGTGGACGGTCGTGGCCACCACGGAGCTTTGCAGTCTTTTTCTGGAAAGTTCTGAGCAGACACCTCGCCCTGAAAGGGATGGTCAGGCTTTGTGGTCTTTTTCTGGAAAGTTCTGCATGAGCAGACACTTCGCCCTGAAAGGGACGCTCAGGCCAGAGGTCAGGAGCCCTTGGGGATCTCCTCTGAGGTGGGCCAGCTGGGGTTCGGGGCGTCCTGTTTCCAGGACTTGGAGAGCCTGACTCCGCTGCTGCAGCCTTGCACTGGGGGAGGGGTGATTGTTGAAGGGACCCTCCCTTCCACACGTCCCGGCTGCCCCTGGCCAGCCCTGTGGCCTGGGCTCCTTCAGACCCCCATCCACCCCCTCCTCCAAAGGGGGCGGGGGCACAGCCGCCGGGGGCAGGAGGACCGCATCGGCACCCAGGAGCACTCAACACGTTGCAGCTGGGTCAAGGCTGTGGTTTCTGGAAACTTCCGGGACATCCTGCGCCTGTGTTTCTAACACTCTCCGAGTCTGGGTCCCCAGAGGCGGCTGCTGTGTCCGAGTGAGTGAGCGGAAGAGGAGCCCAGGACGCCTGCCTGATGAGGCCATGCCCAGCTCTCACGGAGGCCTGACCCAGCAGAGGGCACGGCACGGGGGGCCGCGCGGGGTCACTTTCGGGGCCGGCACCGCGGCAACGCTCAGGGGGGCTTTGCCCCCCTGTCGAGCCCCCTGCCTTCACAGGAGCCTCTGGCTGGCCCCCCTCCCAGGGAAAGGCGCCACCGTGCACGCTCACTGCGGCAGGAACAGCTTGAGGGCTTTAGCGCACATGACGCACTGGCCGTTCTCACAAGAACCTCTTTGTCAACGGCGTTTTGCTGTTGTTACAGGAGCCGAGGGAACGGGGTGCGGGCCCGTCAGCTGGCACAGGCCTGTCTGTGGCATCTGTCCGCCCACAGAGCGACTTCCTGGAACCATCCAGAAGGTTTAAGAGCAACCAGAGATGACCGAAAAGTAGCCGGGGGCCTGTCGGGAGGCAGGTGGCTGGGCCACAGCCAGGGCCAGGCGAGGGCCCGAAGGGGGACCACGTGTGGCCCGCTCACCAACATGCCTGAGCAGGGCCACCCTCACGGGCATGCGGCGGGGTCCCACGCTTGGACAGGAGACGGCAGCTTGAAATTCTTCATCATTCTACCTCTGGATTTGGGTTCTGTCAGCCAAATTCAACAGGACAATGGAATAGGTGCCAGGGGCCCGGACCCCCGTCTCACGCAGGGTCCTAGCTATCCCCGTGCCTGTGATGACTTCTCAGCCACCTGCCCCTCCCCTCCCCTGCCCGCCGTGGTGTCCCAGCCGGGCCCAGGCTCCCCTCCCCTCCTGCCCACACCTGGCAGCAGGGTCCCGTTGGGGAAGGGCGGTCCGTGCCCCACGGTCCCCCCCTGTTCCTTCTGGGCGCCCGGGCCGCAGCAGAAGGGGAGGTGGTCACAGTCTAAAGGGGAAAGCGGGCAAAGTTTCTTGCGGACGTGCTCTGACGGGAAGGGCTGGGGGCCTGGGGTGTGGTAGAGGAACCTGAGCGGGGAGGGGGGCGGGAGGGCCTCCAGCAGCAAGTGGCTCCAGCAAGGCCTGCAGCCAGAGAAGTCTCTAGGCAGCAGGAGCAGCCGTGCAAAGCCTCTGGGGGTGTTGGGGGGTTCCTGAGGAGAGGCCAGGTTCAATGCCTGGTGTGCAAGGAGGCTGTGACAAGGGGGGAGACTGTGCGCCTCGATAAGGACCAGGTGGTCTGGGGGTGCAGCCCAGGCTGTGGGGGCCTCTGCGGGGTAGAGCCTGGGCCGTGGGGATCTCTGGGGACGCCGCAGCCTGGGCCAGGGCCAGAAGATCTGAGTAAGACCCACCTCTGCCCTGATGCTGTGACCCCCGGCCAAGGTGGCCTTCACCAGACCCTCCGGCTCCTGGCCTGCGTGACGTGGACACCGGAAGCCGGGCGGGGAGTCTGGGTGGGCAGCAGGAGCCGGTGTGGGAAGGGTGCGGCCAGGGGGCGTGGCTCCGAGAGGTGTGGCTCCAGAGAGGGGTTGGGGTCTTAGGTGCCCCGCCCCCATCCACCTCGCAGCCACCTCGGTTGACCTGTGGGACCTGTGACAGCCCACAGCTGGCCTAGCCTGGCTCTCCAGCCCTCGCTGACCCCACTGGGTGACGGCCGCGGAGTTAATGGAGCCCACATCCTGCCGGGCCGTGTTAGGAGGCAGGCGCCCGGGCCTGCAGGGCCCGAGGCTTGGGAGCATCTGTCTCTCAGGGAGGCATTGTTCTGCTGTGGGAAGAGCCCGGGGGCCGCCCCGCCCATCTGGGCACCCTCGCCCCTCCCGGCTGGGTCCCCACCTTGG